CTACAGGGTGGTCGAGTTTACCAATTTAATCGAAATTAAACGACCTCATGCATTTATTTTTATGATATTTAGTATGTTATAAAAATATCCCTAGACTTTTCCGATGTGTGTATTTAGGTTCCATGTTTATACTTACTATCCATTCTGTATAACACGCTTTGTTAATAAGATATATTCTTGGACAATAAAGCATATTTTGATTTGATCGTGTATTGAAGTTTCAAATTGGTTGAAAAAACACTTTTTATAACATAAATAACGTAAATAAATATTTTTATTATAGACCAGTCAAAAATAACAAGTACACATATCTAATATAAAATACTTATTACAAAGAACAATCACAAATGTAAAGTTTCATGGGAACATAAAAAACTGAAACTCCCAGTTTTCCACAAAATAAGCAAAAATTATTGGTCGATAAGAAATACCTACAACATAATAACCATGTTTATTTATCAACTTATAACTTCGATTCGTTATCATTTACTTCAACAAATATTTTTGAATTACTACTGGGTATTTTATTTTCTATGTTTACATTTGATATTTGACTTGAAGCTGAAGCATGACTACTTGATCTTGAATGACTCCCTCCAACGGGAGTTTGAATCTGTGGAGAGGGAGGAGTTTTGCCTCCCGACGCAGATATATATCCTGATTTCATCTGCATGTGGTATTTATAAATATTTTCAGTACTTTCAACGACTCCCTGCGTTAGATTTAGACTTCGCCCCATGATTCCACTATCATCTTTCGTTCTTGGTGACCACCAATTCACAAATGTTCCTACTATCGGTACATGGCGAATAATGTTTTCTTGCCAAAGTCTTTCTTCACTTTCTTTCTGAAGATCTATGGTAGCAGTCTCAATACCTAAAATATATTAATAAAAAAAGGCGTTGGGATGCACATTTGTTACCAGAATCGTTTCAAATATAACTAAGAGAATTTTTAGGAGAGACATACAAAAACCAAAGTTATTCTAGAATCTAAAAAAACATAAAGATATCTATAATTAGAATGCCTAGTGCAGGTGAGATCGTAAATTTTATTACCATTATTATATTAAATCAATGTCAAGGAAATAACAAAAAAAAGTCACCTGGATATGACAACATCCGATCAGAAACTTCAAAAGAAGTTTCCAAGGACATATGCTCTCCAATAACATTCTTATATACCAAATGTTTCGACTCTGGGTACTTTCCAAAGGTTTTAAAATATGGAATAACATAACCACTGTTTAAAAATGGGGAAACATTGAAGTAATATAATTATAGACCAATTTCTTTACTTTCTAATATTTAGAAGAATTTGGAAATATTATTGAAAATTAGACTGATTAATTTTTTGAAGAAATTTAATATACAGGCTGATTCACGGTGGATGGCACATTAGACGTTTCTGGTGAACCAGACAACNAAGGGGTCACAAAATATTATTGATGATCCATATTCACCAGGCATCACGTGTCGGCTCAATTTTTTTTACTGACATTAGTCGTACCGTCACATTTATGTCATTTTTTCAATTAAAGATGATGATTTTGATGAAACAAAATAAAAAGGTTTATTGATTGTTATGGGAAGGAAGTAATACAAATCCATGGAATTATGAAACAACAAAAATTATTTGGCGTTCCGGGGCGACTTCATTGATTCCAGTGGCGCATTTGCTTTTTCAGCTGCAGGAAAACCCGGAAAAATGTGCAGCACCACATCATCTGAAGATCATGATCTGCCAATGTCCTCTCTCATATAACAAAATTCAGGGTGTCTCCAGAGGCTCCAATAAATTGGATACATCGCCAGAACACTTCGTGGCACGACTATCGTCAAACTTAAACCAGTCCGTTTCGTCTTTGATGAAGGCGTAATAATGACCAAATTCAACGTCAGGGTCACAGTGAACAATGACTATTATGAATATTATGAAGGTGGTCTGTTGGATTGAAGTGTTCATCTATTTCGAACCTTCGTGGAGTTTGGTGCTTCCGTCAGAGGTTGAGTCATGTTTGAAGATCATCAGTGTTATTATTAGATTGACTGGTGCCAAAGCTATACTTATTTTCTTATAACAGTCGGTTAGTTCGGCGTATGTTTGGCAATATAGTCGATCATTACCTGTTTGAAGTTCCATTTTCAGATGATTTAACAATAACCTTTGCTCGAACTGGTTATTAGTGACCTTTGTAAATTGATGGCAGGGGCTGATAGTCCCCTGAAAAAGTGGAATGCATTCGCGACGTTCGCGAGTAATATCAACAGTTACAGCTTCTAAATGCCTATAAAGGCGTGTATGTTGAATGTGAATGGAATTGGCAACAAATACCCCAGTGTTGTTAACTTCATTCATACACATAATGTAGACATAATGCTTCTATCTGAAACAAAGCTACGACAGGAGCATAAACTGAAACTGCGGGGTTTTACCACTATCCGGAAGGACCGTCCTGATGCTGTGAGAGGCGGTGGGGTGGCTATACTGGTAAGGAGGGGTATCGCTCACACGCAGATACCGCAGCAACGCAGTAACATCGAACAAGATGGAATCAAGCTTGCTGACGGCACCTGCGTGTTTGCGGTATACAACCAACCAAGTGTACACTTCACTCCGCATGATTTGGACAATTTGCTCAATGTTGGGAATAAAGTGCTGGTTGTGGGAAACCTCAACGCCAGGAGGCGTGAGTGGAACTGCCACAATCAACAGAATACGAATGGTAGCACGCTGTTGGAATATTCCCTGAACAACAATATCAATATCGAATTCCCGGAGGAGCCTACCCACTACCCCTGGAATGGTTCGTCACCCACAACTATCGACCTGGTATTGAATAAAAACGTCCGCGATTTGGGGATGTTGGTTACCGTGGACGAGCTCAGCTCCGACCATTGTCCGGTGCTCTTTGATCTCAAAAGGGAGATACCCAACAATAAAAAAATAAAATATGACTACAAGAGCACGGACTGGGCGGAGTTTAGATCGACCATGAATAACCTCACAACTATAAGAGACAACATTTCCAAATCACGGATCAACGAGGTTTGTGAAGAATTCATAAAGAATATTCAAAAATCTCGTGACGTCTCTACCAGGAAGATAGAGGTGAAAGGGGAGCGAGATATTCTTCCGCATGATGTGGTTGAGCTCATAAAGCAAAAACATCGAGCCAGAAAAGATTGGCAGCGCACAGGAGACCCCCGCAGCAAGGATCAAATGCTGATACTTGCTGCGGAAGTTAATGCGCGAATTTATGAGTTCACCAATATGAAGTGGAAGAACAAANTGGATAAGAGTATTCACGCACACATGATGACGTGATAGCAGAAATACTCTTACCTGGTTTTTTAATGAACTTTTTCCAGGGGGATATCGACAACTGCTACCAACAAACAGACGAATGATTCTCTGAGAAGTACCGAAACGCGACAGAATGACAACTTCCGCGTAAGCCTCGGCAGGAAGCGGAAAACTATAGATGAGGCTGATATAAGGCGTTTTTGAGTGGAGAGCCAACCGCCAACACCAGCGGGGGCGTCTCCCACTGTCCCATCGGGGGACTGTGTGGAGGCGCTTTTCTCTTCCGTGCGGAATTCTTGAGAGCGCAAATGTATCGGGGTCTTTTCCTGCCACTCCCTCTACCCCATTCACTACCCATCCCAATCCTTCCCACTGTCCCACTCCATTTTTGACTGTCCCTACAGCCTTTGACGAGGACGGACGTGTGTGAGTGAAGCGACTGAGTTATATTGCAATTCAAACTGTTTATCTATTGTAAAGCAAAATGTATGTGAATAGTGAAAAAGGCACAAAAGTGAAATTGATTTCTTATAAATTCTGCGAAACAGACACATAAAAACGAATTTCTCACATGTGTTTGGTACGTACATGCGTTTAAGGAAGCAAAAAGTGGTTTTGTTTTCATTGTGATTCCTCTATGGTTTGTTTTTCCTTCATGATGCTGCTTGATTATTTCTTTTTGTCTAGCTGAGCAACTGACATCTTCCAAAAGGCGGTTGCATTTTATGAGATCGAAAGCGGAATTCTTGAATGTCTCTCTCAAGATTCTGCACATGCACAGTTCTTCATCTTCGAACATCAAAGCGTATTTCTTTCCCGGGCTGATATATTCTTTGAAAAAGTTGAAGACATTTTCGTCCATATTGTCGTTTCCCAACTGAGCATGGTATCTTCTTTTATTCGAGAATATTTATTCTATCACCGTTCTTGCTGGTTTATAGCTTACTTGTTTGAAGATGAATTGGTTATTGAAGACATTGAGAGGTTTCTCTGATATTGGTATTTCTAATATTGGACTTTCTCTGGCTGTATGGTTGGTGATGCCACTAGTATCTTCGTCTGGGGTAATTTCCGGGTTCAGGTTCACGCATTCTTTGTCTCCTTCAGCTGGGGGTTCATTCTGAATTTCTTGTTCTTGCGGTATGGGGTCCTTATCTTCAGGAAAATGGTGATGAAAGCAATCTTTAAACAGATCGTTGATGATGTCATCTGCAGACTCAGGAACTTCTGATGGAGGATGGTTGAATAGAGATGCCTTGTCGTCGTCATGGAGCTCCTTTGTATGTATCTCTATTCTGGAGAGCGCATCGGCGTTGGTATTGCTTGTGCCTTTTTTGTAGACCACTTCGTAGTCATACTCTTCTAGCTTCAGGCGCCATCGGACCAGTTTTGGATCCTTCAAAGAGAAGAGCCACTGGAGGGGACGGTGATCTGACAGAATTTTGAATTTTCTGCCGAAAAGATACGGTCGGAAATATTTGGTGGCCCAAACTATTGCTAGCATTTCCTTTTCGATGGTAGAGTACTTCATTTCAGTTTCGTTCAGGGTCCTGGATGCATAAGCTATTGGCTTGTCTTTTCCTATGGGTCCTTGGGACAGAACGGCTCCTATGGCGAAATTGCTGGCATCTGTGGTCAGATTAAAGGGCTTTGTGAAGTCCGGATACTGTAGTAGTGGTTCATTGGTAAGCAGGTTTTTACAAGTTTGAACACATTTTAGGAATTCTGGCGTATGCTCTATATGGGCATCTTTCTTGAGACAGGAGGTTAACGGTTTGGTAGTCTTGGCGAAGTCCTTGATGAACTTCCTGTAGTACCCTAGGAGTCCTAGGAATCCTCTGATCTCTTTGACAGTTCGAGGTACAGGATAGTCCATGATTGCTTTGACTTTTGCTGGGTTTGGTTTTATCCCATTTGGAGTGACGATGTGTCCTAGAAAGCTGACTTCTTTTTTCAGGAATTCGCACTTGTCCACTTGTATTTTGAAACTAGTTTCTCGTAGACATTGGAAAACTTTTGTGAGGTTGACCATATGCTCCTGCAGAGATGTAGAGAAGATGATTATGTCATCCATATAAACCAAGCAGATAGTCCCTTGTAGTCCCTTTAGGACATTGTCCATAACCCTTTGAAAGGTCGCTGGAGCATTTTTAAGTCCAAACGGCATACGCAGGTACTCGTAGTGTCCGTTTTCGACGTTGAATGCGGTCTTAGGGATGTCCTCCTCTGCCATCTCTATTTGGTGAAATCCGCTTGCCAAATCCAGGGTAGTGAAATATTGACACCTTTCCAGTTTGTCGAGGATGTCAGAAATGTTCGGAATAGGGTAGCGGTCGTCGATTGTCTTCTCGTTGACTTTGCGGAAATCCACAACGATACGCCATTTTGCTTTTCCAGAGGCGTCCAGTTTTTTTGGAACGACCCAAATTGGTGAGGACCAGGGAAATTGGCTAGGTCTGATGATTCCTTGGTCCAATAACGAAGTTATTTGCTTCTTGACTTCTTCCTTGTGTACATACGGATATCGGTATGATTTTGTGTAGACTGGGATTTCGTCTCTGGTTTTTATATGGTGTTTGACCTGATTGGTGAACGTGAGTGAGGAATCTGGATGGTGAAAAATATCAGCATATCTTCCGCATAATTTTCTGATATGGATCTCCTCTTTTGGATTCAGGTGGTCTGTTCTGATTAGATCATCCCTGTTGTTGATTGGGTCTCTGTTTCCTGATGGGATTATGTCAGCAGAATAGATATGATGCTTTTGAAGATTTATTGGGCTGCTGCGTACTGGTTCGGCTAGAACGATTTGGAGTTTATCTGGACTGAAGTTGACAATTTCCGTCCAGGCTAGATGATCACGGGCATCAGTGAGAGCTTCACGGATGTAAGCGCCTTGCAGTTTCTGTCTTGGTATCATGATAGTTCCATTCTTCTCCTTCACCGGTAGTCGTACTTGGGTCACGCTGTCTGGCTCCAATTGAATAGAGTAGAACTGGGTCTTATTGGTTTCGTAGTACTGGATTGGGAGAGAGGAGTATTCGGTTAAAAGGGAGGATTCAGGAAAATTCAGTTCAGCTTTGAGAAATTTCAGGTTGTCGAGTCCAATGAGGCCATCAAAAGTTTTGTGGAATTTGAAGAGGTAGAATTTCAGAATGCCGTTTGAGTTAAACTCAGGAAATATGGGAATTTCTGCACTGTAATCTTGAGAATAGTTTTGGAAAATGGAAGTGACGACGAAGGGATCTTTTTTGATGCAATCCTTGTAATATTGGAAAGCTAATTCAGGATTGAGAAAGGATTTTGTTGATCCGGTGTCAATGAGGAGTTTGAGGGGAGGATTTGCAATGGTTATATAAGGAAGTTCTCTCTTATCGTCGAATGTATGCAGTTCCACTATGTTTCTTGGTTTTGTCCTGGTGGTTCCTGTTGGTCTTCTTGAACCTGGAATTCTTCAGTTGGTTCTTGATTGGGATAAGAGCAGGTTTCTTCAATGTAATAGGGGTTTGCTTCGTATGCAAAGTCTTCGTCATGTTGCTCAATGTTGAACATGGGAGCTGGATTGAAATTTGGTCTTGCCTGAGGTTGGGTTCTCATGCTCCTTGTTGATGGTACTCTATCCCAGCTGAATTGAAGAATAAAAAGCTGCTTATTGAACAGGAAAATAGAAGATTTCAAGAAGACTTGGATGAAATGACGAAACAAATAGCTGGATTCCAACTGGAAATTGAAGAATTTTCTCAGATCAAAAATAATATGATGATTTCCATCGAGTGTCTCTCACAAGAAACAGAAGCCAATCTTAGGGAAATTACTGAATTAAAAAATGAAAAGTGCATTCTACATGCCGAAAACAAAAATATAAAAAAGAAATATAAACTACAAAATATAGTGAAAACCTCAAGCTCAACGGTCTCTATCGAACGTGTAAAAAAACGGTGTGAAGACAATTCCAACGTCAGTAGCAAATCAACGATGATAGCGAGTGAATTTTTCGGGATGAGTAGCATGATGGATGAAAATAATTACATCTCTAATGAAAAAATGGAAACTTTTATTAACAATAAAAAAAATCAGGTTAATATAAATCACCCTCACCTTCATAGTGATGATGTTAAATCAGATAAAGGGAAAATACTAATTGTATCAGGATACTATGGTAGAAATCTAGCAATTGCTCTGAATAGGCAAATGCAAGGAAACTACCTCACCTAGGCCATATCAAAGCCCAATAATGCACCTGACGCAGCACTGGTTGAAACAGCTATAAAAAAACACAAAACATTTTACAAAATGTGATTTGGTAATCTTATGGCCCAAAAAGTTACCTCACAACATCAAAAACAATTTACTCAATAATCTAAAGAACACCAACACCATCATAATTTCAGAGCCTTATAATTACAAACTCAACAGCTACTTGAATGAATGTGTCTATTATAACAATCTAGCCTTATTCAAAGCACTGCATCAAGACAATATCCAAAGACATTTCTTTGAATGCAACAATATTCTCCGAAAATCAAACTTCATCCGAAGGGGCTATGAAACAAGTATCAATAATAAAGGTACGTACTTCCTATCCAAAGCAATAAAAGCTCATATGGAAAACTATTTTGGGTTGAATAAAATCGAACCAATCTCATCATCAGTGGAAGAAGGATTCACATGCGAAAACGTGGCACCATATCAGTTTCGTCCTTCCACAATGTCAAGAGTACAAGAAATGAGATCTGCAAGAACTTCTGAGGACCCTTCTTTTTTAGGCGCAGCAAGGAAACGAGGATCAGAGTATTGTCCTTGAACATTCAATCATTAAGACACAAGACTGATGAACTATTATTATTGTTAGCTGAATATGAATATCCGGATATAATTCTTTCAACTGAACATTGGTTGAAACCGGAAGAACCAATATTTCCACCTCAGTATAGCTTGATTTCAAAATATTGTCGCTTCAACTCAATTGGTGGAGGCACCCTTGCTTTAGTTAAAGATTATCTAAGTTCTAATTTCTTCAA